TCCTGGACTCCTAGTCCCACCTATCTTGGTTCCCTATTGGCCCAACAGTGCTTTATTGACATATACACACACAGGACTTCCCCCATCAGTTTGTTTGTTTGTTTGTTTGTTTGTTTCCAAGACAGGGTTTCTCCATATTGTTTTGAAGGCTGTTCTGGAACTCTCTCTGTAGACCAGGCTGGCCTCAAACTCACAGACACCAGCCTGCCTCTGCCTCCCGAGTGCTGGGACACCTAGAATATTCTTATGCAGCCTAGCTGAGAGTAGTGTGATGCCAGAAGCTTTACTCTCAACATCCCCACAGTCAGAACTGTGTGGAGCTGGGCTAGAGAGAATGCTTGGCAGTTAAGGGTGCTTACGAACCTGGCAGAGGACTCATTCACCAACACCTGCATCACGGGGTTGACAACCACTTGCAACTCCAGCTACAGGTTTTCTGGCGCCCACTCCTGGCCTCCTTGGGCACCTGCATTTATGCGGCGCACACAAACTCCAGACAGGCACACCCACGCACAAACATGGAAGAAGTAACTCAGGAGAAACCCATCAGGGCACAGTGATTCATGGCTCCTACCTGTAATCTCAACACTTGAAAAGTGGAGACAGAAGGATTAGGAGTTCAAGACCAGCTTCAGCCACACAGAGACAGGGAGAGCTAGCCTGAGCTACAGGAGACCCTGTCTTTGAAAGGAAGGATGAATTTAGGCAGAAATGGGGGGGCACTCAGGGGAAGTGGGAGATCAGAAGCCCGAGGTCATCCCCCACTATACAGTGAGTGTGCGGGGCCGGGCTGGAATGCTCGAGACCCCGTCACAGAATGAAACAGGATATCACAGCAAGTAGTGAGGAGAGACCTGGAAGAGAGGCCTGGGAGGTATCCAGGTCTCTAACGGCGTCTTCGTGGGGGCACAGAGGGTTCTGGGGGACAGACTTCTGTAACTGCCAGGCACAGAGCCCCAAGGACGCCTCTCACCCTTCCCTCTACCCCCTCCCCCCCGCGTCCCCCTCAGGGCAGTAGGCACTGGAGAAAGACAGGAAAACCCACAAAAATCTCCCAAATAAGATAAATCTGTGGTGTAGACAAAAGCTGTGCTGGGTGGGACTAGGTTTCCGTTGCTCCCCCGATGGGGCGGACCGTCAAAAGTGGCTTGTGGCTGCAGAAAAATGCGTCATCCCCGCTCTCGGCAAGGACCCGCTGTCTCAGCTACACCCCTGAAAAACAGTCCTAGGCTGGTGGGGTTCCCATGGTGAGGGAATTGGGGATCTGTTGCTGGCCTCTGGGTCACCCTTGAAGTCCTGTTCGGTTCCAGCAAGACAGTGGGGCTTCTTGGAACAGGGTTACCCGGCTGGGGGGGGTGCGGGTGTTGTGGGAGCTGTTTCAAATCGCTGGGTTACTGGAGTTACTAACTTCCCAGGGGGTGGCAAGTATCCAGGGAGAGGCTGGGGTGGGGGGGCTCCAGTCCTCTGTAGGCCGGAGTCCTCAGAGAGCACAAGGGTCGGGTCCAGTGGTTTCCCTGGGGAAAGGGTGCCGGCTGACGGTGGGGACAAAAGGTCTCTTCAGCGCCCCTGCACTCCACACCCCTCGGCTCTCAGGCCCGGGAGTTCCTTCTCTCTCCTCTCCAGCTCCACGCCTGTTAAGGGCCATTGTTCCGATTGTTCTGTGGAGAAAGAGATGTTTTCAGTTTGGAGGCATTGTTGTGGACTTCCTCCCTGGGCCAAGGCACGGGAGGCCTCCCTGGGCAGGGCGGCCGCAGCAGTGCCTGAGAGGACAGTGGACTCTGCGTGTCTGCGCTGCTTGAGCCTGGAACAGCCCTCTGTCTCAGAGAGGTCACCACTCCAAGATGATACCGTGCCCACGGCACAGGGAAGGCTGTGGCCTCCTGCCCCTTCCGGGGCTGCCCCTAACCACCACCCTGCCCCACCCCCACCCCACCCCAGCCGCTTCAGCTCAGACTATGTTTCAGGGTTGATTCTTCTCTCTGCAGCAGACTAAGAAACTTCTTCCCTGAGCCTCAGTTTCCAAATTTGCAAAATCAAAAGGGGTTGCCAGTGTGGTGACGGGACACTCCTTTAATCCTAGCATTTAGAGGCTGAGGCTGGCCTGGTCCACAGTGACTTCAGGGCCAGTTTGGACTATATGGGACCATGCCTCAAAAAGAAGAGAAGAAAGGAGGTAGTGGAGTAGGGAAAAGGAGGGGGGGAGGAGGAAGAGGAGGAAGACTGACCTTGAAGTTTTGGGGGGGGGGGTGCTGAGGTGCCAGTCCTCTGGGCAATGACTTCTGGCATCCAAACATCTTCTGGCTCCTTCTGTTCGGACGCGCTGTTCATGGAGGGTCGTGGGGAAAGACTCTATCGCCAGCCCTGACTGAGAAAGCTGGGGCTGTCTCTTGATGTCGGGGGTACGGGCCCATCAGGGCTACACCAAGAGACCCTGGAGGCCTGACTCTGGGTGAGAACCTGGACACAGTGACTTCAGGAACTGCCTGCCTCCTAACTAGCCTGTCTGGGGTGAGAAAATCCAAGGACAGCCTCTACGGCTGCAAGCGGCTGAGCAGGGGAGAGCCGCTCTCAAGCATCCATCCACGTGTCCCCCACTTCCCTGAGCTGTGTCAGGCTGGTTCAGTGTGCTTACTTCCCATTGCTGTCAAACAAGGGCAAGAGGTCAGGAGGGCTTCGGGCTGGAGCTGAAGATGGTGGCGGCCATGGAGAAGGGGTGGGAGAGGTCCCAAGGGAGCTTGCGGTATGAGCGCCACACAGACATGCCTGAACCTGGCCTGGAGATTGGAGACCACGCCTGAGACGCTCAGTCTGAGAGGGACGCGTCAGGACAGGTGGAGTTCGGATGTCTCCCCTGTCACCCTGCTTAAACTGCTCCATCGGTGAGTTTCACGGTGCACAATGTGAAAAGATCAGGGATCTCAGAGCCGGCCTGAGGTCAGGCCCCAGGGAGTGTCTGAGATGAGGCCGGGAAGCCTTCTGAACCACTCTGTGAGCTGACAGCTAACACTGCCTCCTTCTTCCTATGCACGGAGGCCCCGCCCCCTTTCTAAACAGGGCCTTCTGTAGCTCAGGCTGACCTCAAACTTACTACGTAGCTGAGGATGGCCTTGAACTTCTGAGATTGCAACCCATCTTATAACCCTGAGGATGGACCCCAGGATCTCCTGCACACTAGATGAAGACAACACCGAAGCCACTTCTCCAGCCCCATAGAGAATTCTTGAGGCAGGAGGAATGTTCCTGGGGTTTCTGGCCAGGCAATTCCTTACCATTTGTTTTCAGCCTTTAGGTTATGAGTGACAGGTACTCTCTCCTGCTGAGGATCCCTGATGATAAGAGAACGGAAGTGTCCCTAGGGCTGGAGAGACTGCTCAGAAGTCAAAAGCACTGGCTGCTCTTACAGGAGACCTGGGTTCCATTCCCAGCACCACATGGTGGTTCACAACCATCAGTTACACCATTTCCAGAGGTTCTGATTCCCTCTTCTGACCTCCTGGGCACAAGGCCCTCATGTGACATACCTACATACCTACATACATATATACATGTAGACAAACCACTGCATGTCAAAAAATAGACATAAAATAAACCTGAAAGAAAACACAAAGTATTTCTGCCTTCCTCAAGCCAGTGAAATGTTGCTGTCAGGGACCATGTAGAAAATCTAACCCTAACCCTAATCCTTACCCTAACCCCTAACCCTAACCCTTGTGATCATGCAGGTCACACGATCTCAGTTGCAACTACTCAGCTACAAAGATGGCAGAAAGAAAAATGCAAATGAATGGGTATGATTCGCCCACTAAAACTATATTCATAGAACAGGAGTGGGGCTGGGTTTTCTGGAAGGCAGAACTGAGTTAAGTTAAAAAGGATGGTGGGATGTGGGGGTGAATTAATTAACCCTGAGGGGCTGGGAGCTGGCTTCCATGCAGCCTGTTCACCTAAACTCAATCCTTGGAACTAGATTCAGCAGGTGTGATAGAACATGACTTCAACCCCATCACTGGAGAGGCAGAGGCAGGTGGATCTCTGTGAGCTGGAGACCTGTCTGGGGTCTACATACTAAGACCATCTGGGGCCATTCATGGCTACATGGAGAGACCCTGTCTCAAAAACAACTCCTCCAAAAAAAGAAGGGCAAAAGTAAAACAAAACAGGCTGGAGAGATGGCTTAGTGGTTAAGAGCACTGGCTGCTCTTCCAGACAATCCAGGTTCAATTACCAGTACCCACATGGCAGTTCACAACTGTCTGTTAACTCCTGTTACAGGGGATCCGACATCCTCATGCAGGCATACATGCAGGTAAAACACCAAAGCACATAAAATACAAATCAGACAAATAAACCAACAACTAAAAAGGAGAATGGGCTCTGAGACAGGCTTTGAGTCCCAGACAGACGCAGGGGCTCACCAGCAGAGGGTCGGGAGCAGAAGGTGGTGACAAAACAGGAGGCTGATGTCACAGGCTTCCTTTGGGCTACTGACCAGCTCCCAAATCACGGAAACTTATTTGTTAGTTGTGAATGCCCAGCCTTACCTTAGCTCTAGTTTTAATATATTTCTCTTTACTATGTTTTGCCTTAGGGCATTTTACCTTTCTTTCATTCTGAATATCTTACTTTCCTGTTTCCTCTGTATCTGGCTGGTGGCTTCCTGGCTTCTGGCCCTGAGCATTTCCTCTTTTTCCCTCTCCCTGGTTCCTCAAGCCTAGGTTTCTCTCTGCCCACCAGCCCCACCTATCCCCCCTCTGCCTGGCTATTGGTCATCCAGCTTTTTATTAGATCAATCAGGTGCCTTAGGCAGGCAGGGTGAAACAGCAACACATCTTTACATTGTTAAACAAATGCAGCAGAAACAAATGTAACACATCTTTACATTGTTAAACAAATGCAGCAGAAACAAATGTAACACATCTTTACATTGTTAAACAAATGCAGCAGAAACAAATGTAACACACCTTTGCCTAGTTAAATATTCCACAACAGGCTGAGGTGAGACTGTGAGGGGATTTAAACACTTGGCAACAAACTTACTGAGACTTTACACTTAGGAACAAAATTAATACAATGGTCCCCCACAGGAATACTATGCAGATGACATTTTTACTTAAGATACTCCTTCCTGCCCCCAAGCATACCCCACAGCCAGGCTGCCTCAGAGATAAGCAGTATGGGTTCCTGGAGATTTTCCATTTCCAAATGGCTACAGAGACCCACAACATCTCCTGATTGTGAGGTTAACTTTTTTTTTTTTTTTTGGTTTTTTTGAGACAAGGTTTCTCTGTGGCTTTGGAGGCTGTCCTGCAAGACCTCATTTCTTTCTTTCTTTCTTTACAAAGATAGGTGGAAGAGACTTGGTACCCATGACTTCAGGCTAGTTTGGGGCCAAGAAGCAAATGCCCAGGATCTCCAACAGCCGGGTCACTGTCTCTGTACGTGGATGGGATGCTGGCTGGTGCAGGAGGCGGCAGTCTGGGAAACCCAAACCCACATGCAGTGAGGAGGCCATGCACACCTGTGACCCCTGCACCGAGGAGGGGAGAGTGGAGGAGACAGGAGGATCAGGAAGTTGGGGGCGTCCCTTGCTGCATAACGAGTTTTAGGTCATCCTGGGCTACATGACCCCCCCGTCTGGGAAAAATAAAAACAAAACGAACAAAAGAAGAAAGAGGGAACATGCAGGCCTCCGGGAAAAGAAACCGCAAACTCAGACTATTCAGCAAGCGCTACTGGAAGGGAGTTGGGAGATTGCTGCAGGCCCGAGTCCCTCCCACAGGATCAACTGCACAAACCCCAGAGATCGATATAGGGCCAAGAAAACTCCCCCACCTAGAGACTTCAAAAAAAACCCAACCCCAAACCTTTCATTGTTACCCCACCAAGGGGCCGCACTGCCGCTCCGGGTGTGTTTACTGGTAAGATTTGCTGTAATTATTATTATTGTTACTTCGTGCAAGAATACACTCATTGTCTCCAAAGTTCAGAATGTGGTCCAAGCATGACCTCACTTCTCCTCTGAGCGTGGCAGGTATGCTAACCGCTCTCCAGAGGAGGCCGCAAAGGTCCGCGCCTTAAGCAAGGCCGCACATCAAGAGAGGAAGGGAGGACGGGACACAGCCCTGCTCCTGGGCCCCTCAGTCTGTTGACTTCCTCCGTGGTCACGGAGCTGGCCTGATGGGACCAATGTAAGGTACCCGGGACAGTGGGGCATGGGGACACTGGTACTCCCATGGCCACAATGCCGGTGCACCCCAACCCCACACCAACCTTCCCTTCCCAGCTCCGAGCTCTCTGCTCTCCCTTGGCTGACTGGCATAATCCCAACTCTCCTCCCAAGAAGGCCTTTCTTTCTCTGTGTGTGTACCGTGGGGTGTACTGGTGTGTGGAGGCCAGAGGTGGAAGTCTGGTGTTTTCCTCTATGCTTTCCATGCTTTGTTTTGTTTTTTCCTAAGACAGACTCTTATTTATTTATTTATTTTGAGATAGGGTTTGTGTATCCTTTACTGTCCTGGAACCACTTTGTAGACCAGGCTGTCCAGGAACTCACAGAGATCCGCCTGCTTCTGCCTCCTGAGGGCTGGAATTAAAGGCGTGCGCCACTGTGCTCAGCTGTTTTATTTTTAACCCGGGTTCTGGTGGATTAAAGTCCCATCCAATGGAAAGCAGTTACTAATGGATCTACCTACCTACCCCCCCCCTCCTTCCCTTTTCTCTCTCTCCCCCCTCTTCCTCTTTATTGTTTTTGAAACACAGTATCTTGTAGCCAAGGCTGACCCAGAACTAAATAGCTAAGGCTAGCCTTGAGCTCCTGATGCTCCTATCCCAGCCTCCCAAATGTTAGGATGACAGATACCTGTCACCTTCAGCTCCCCTTCTGATCCCTGAAGGGACCTTCTGGAGACAATCTACCTACAACTCAGAGAAGGTGGGGTGTCTGAGCTGAGGGTCCCCCCCAGGCCAGCAGCTTCCAGCCCAGCACAGTCCCTCCCTGACCTCCCGGTTGCTCTGCAGTTGCTGAGAATCCAGGTACTGTGTGCCCAGCAAGCTTAGAGTGTCCCACTGGCATCAAAAGCCATCGCTCATTGCCAGGAAACCAGCCTAGAGCTGGCAGGCTCTGCTGTTGCCCCTGACCCCTCCACACCTCAGGAACGATGCCCTTCTGCTGTGGTGACAACGAGAGGTCTGTGAGTGAAGAAGTGTCCCCAAGGAGGAAAGCGAGGTATCTCCTTAGGGGTCTACTGCTCACCCAGAGGAGTGGCCTTTTGTACCCTAGTTATAGAGTTGTAGAGATTTTTAACCATAACTAGGGGCAAATGTCTATGGAATTTTAGAGCACACTATAGAAAACTTCACTTGGGAATACAAATACAGGGCAAGGTTTTGTATATGATTAGGGGAGGGGCTTCCCAATCGCGTCAGCATGTGGCTAACTCGCACCCACATACAAATGACTCACAAGGTTCAGTATGTTTCCATGTTAACAAGGGAGTGAAGGCCTCAAGTGGAAGGAGCTGGATTCTTCTATGGAGAGCCCGCTCCACCGATGAGCTGGAATGAGGCAGCCGTGCTGGCTCACACCTGGGGTCTCAGTACGTGAAAGGTGGAGGCAGGGTCAGGAGTTCAAGGTTATCTATGCAGCAGACTCAGGACCAGGCGACGTGAGACCCTGTCTCAAAATAAAAGTGAGAGGGGTGGAAACATTCTACACATGATGAAAAGGCCTCTCTCTTCTGGATCCCTTTTTGGTTTGTTTCAGACAAGGTCTCACTGTGTAGACCTGGGTGCTCAGGAACTCAGTAAGTAGCTCAAGAAGGCCTCAGATTCACAGAGATCCACTTGCCTCTGCCTCCCAAGTGCTAGCTCCACGTCCACAGAGCCACCGTCCACAGAGCCACCGTCCACACCCACTGTCCACACCCACTGTCCACACCCACTGTCCACACCCACTGTCCACGCCCACCGTCCACCACCCACCATCCACAGAACCACTGTCCACACCCACCATCCACGCCCACCATCCACGCCCACCGTCCACAGAGCCACCGTCCACAGAACCACTGTCCACAGAGCCACCGTCCACGCCCACCATCCACACCCACCATCCACGCCCACCATCCACGCCCACCGTCCACAGAACCACTGTCCACAGAGCCACCATCCACACCCACCATCCACACCCACCATCCACGCCCACCATCCACGCCCACCATCCACACCCACCATCCACGCATCCACCATTCCTGTGCATACCCCTCCTCAAATAAGTGCAATAATTAAAATTTTAAACAACTGAGGTTTGAGACAGGAAAGAACCTGAGGGAGGAAGCCCAGAGGGACTATTTTTAGACTACTTTGGAATCCAAAGGTTGTGTGAGTGCTAGCCAATGGGGGCTCTTGGGGCAGATACTCTCTGTCAGCCCGGGGCATCTGATGCTGATGGGCCACACCCCAGCTGTTCTTCAGGGAGCAAGAGCTGCAGCTGCCCGAATGTGGGAGGGGTCCCCGGTCTCAGAACCATCATGGTGTGTGTACGGTTAACTTCTGAGGGCTGTGGCAGGAAAGGGCCAGGCCCACCCTTGGGGCTTGGAAGCTGCAGCTCTCGGTGCACAGCCCGGCGGGACACCCTGGCTGCCTCAGGGCTAATCCTTCCCTGCCAGAATGCGTAAGACAGGGGTACAGCTGAGGGCAAATCGTTGCCAGGTTCAGGCAGGCTGTCTAACCCTCAGCTCTCACACAGGGGACTCTCACAGGGACATTCAAAGTCTAGCTCTAATGCCTACAAATTCTCGTGAGAGTCCCGCCAGCTCAGAGCCCAGCAGAAGGCCGTTGTCACTGCCAGCAGAAGACGAGTCACTGGCTAAGCCGCTTCACATTGTCCTTTGCCCGCCTCCAGGCCTGGAGCCAGAGAGGCCAGTGTGGCACCTGGTCCCCGGGTCCCCTCTCTCCACACTCTGTCCCGTCGGTCTGTGACTTCTCTCCTTTGCCGGGAAGGGGTGGCCTTCAGGGAGGAAGAATTGGCAAAGACAGCCTGGCGTTGGTGGCGCACGCCTTTAATCCCAGCACTCGGGAGGCAGAGGCAGGTGGATCTCTGTGAGTTCGAGGCCAACCTGGTCTACAGAGCGAGCTCCAGGATAGCCTCTAATACAGAGAAACCCGGTCTCAAACCCCCACCCCGCCCCAGAAAAAAGAAAGAAAGCCATCAGGGGTCAAAGAGATGGCTGCCATGCAAACCTGAGGACCCGAGGTCAGTGTGTGGCAGCCGGCCAGCAGTGCTCTCACCGCCACATGCGCGCACACCCTCCCCAACTAACCCAACAATAATTAAGTTCTTTTGAGATAGGCTCTGACTGTGTGGCTCTGGCTGGTCTTGAACTCACAAGAGATCCACCTGCCTCTTCTTCCCACGTACCGGGAAATAATAGGTTTTTTGTTTGTTTGTTTCTTTTTGTTTTTGAGACAGGGTTTCTTTGTATTGTTTGGAGGCTGTCCTGGAGCTCACTCTGTAGACCAGGCTGGCCTCGAACTCACAGAGATCTAACTGCTGGGATTAAAGGCACGAGCTACCACAGCCCAATGAAATGATAGTTTTTAACGTTTCCAGGCTGACTCGGCAGTGTCAGCCCCTGCTACCCACCGTTGTACAGGCCCATCCTGTCTGTCAGAGCTTCTTTTCCAACACGTCCCAGGCTGGCCTCAAGCTCACTAAGTAGCTGAGGATGGCCTTGAACACTGATTGATCCTCCTGCCTCCACCTCCCCCCGGAGTGTGAGAATTACAGGTGTGCACCGCCACATCGGCTTTCTGTGGTGCTGGGGGTCTGAACCCCAGGTTTCCGTGCACGCTAGGCAAGTTCTCTAACCACTGAGCTTCCCCGGCCCCACGCGTGTCTTTCTGAGTCCCGTTGGTAATTTCTGGGAGCCATTCTCCTCCCACCAACCAGCTGCTCACCTGGTCCCTGCCACTCTCCCTGCTTCCCCGAGCTCCGCAGATGGGAACACGCAGACACTAAAGGGCCTCTCCTTCCCTAAGCCCGAGCCTCCTCCGGCTGCAGTTCATCGGTCTTCTTCATTGTCTCATTAGTTTACGTAGACACTTCCATATATCGACCTCGTCGCGTTCTGCCTCCTAATGCCAATTAGTTCAATGCGAGTCTCTCTTCCTACCCAGAGTCATCCTGAGTCTCGTTATACCCCCTGGCACACGCAATGGTTATAAAGAAGCACGCACAATTAACTCTGCGCCCTCACTTCCCCAGGGGGTGCGCACCTCGTTCGTCCAAAATGCGCGTGCAAACGCTCCTAAGGCCCATGGTCCTGGGGGGAGGCCTGGGGGAAGGGGGGCTCGTTTAAATTTCACGGGGGGGGCTGGAGGATGGAATGTTGGACAGCGGCACCTGCTGGTGAGGATCGGCACCGCAGCCTAGAAGACGCTCCCGCATGGGCTCAGCGGTGCTGAAGACCAGCACCGATCCTAAGGGGCAGCACAGTGCTCTGGGGTCAGGACACACCCCGAAGAGCTTGTTCCCCGGTCCGCCACGACTTCCTGCAAACTGGATTTTTCCTAGACCACGGCAGGACCCCAGGGAATTTCAGCTTTAGTTCTGGGATATGGGGGACACACCTGCCATCCCAGTGCCGGGCAGGCTGGGGGTGGGGCTGAGGCTGAGGTCAGCCTGGGTTACATAGTGAGACCCTGTCTCAAAGACAAATAAATAAATAAATTAAATGAGCATTAAGTCAATAAGGAGACCTCATCCAAAAAATAAAAATGAAAAAAGGCTCTGTCTGTAATGGCAAACACCCAGAACTCCTGGCAGGCACTCCAACAACCCTTCTTGGTTCTCAGACGCTTCGAGAAGGACTCTCAGTCGCGTGGCCCTCGGAGGAGGAGCTCCACAGCTGTCCTTTATGCACCATTGAAGCCCGGTTCTTGGACACCCCACCACCTCTACCATCTTTCCTTTCGTGCTGACACCCACAAGAC